CCGGCCCACGGGTATCGAAACCTGGTTTCTAGCCGTGTAAGTCCGCAGACATACCGCTGTGCCACTGGGGCACTCATAGCCTAGAAGTGATAATTCTTTAGATTTTTCTTTTTAGTTATCATCAAAATACTATTGTTGTAAATAGAAAGTGATTTCTGTAGTTCCATGTATAACCAAGAGCAGAAATAAAACGGAAAGTAAACTACGGTTTGAATCAACTTTAAAAAAAGAGATGTTTTGCTTAAAAAGAATAGTCTACAACAATATACGGTAAAATTGTTAAATAAGATACACCAATTTAAACTCTGGATTCATAGACTCACTTTCTTACGAAATACTGTCCAACCTGTCACATCATGTTACTCCTGCGCATCAACTGTGATTGCTACTCTCTTTCTATTTATGAAAGGGATAATGTTGTTCATATAGCCAATTCATATTTCTGACTGAACTGGTCTACGACATTTTTCATCTTGGTCCACGGTAAAAACACTGAAAAAATTACAAAACAAACAGGAAATTTTGGTGAAATACGTAAAGGAAACTGGTGGAGATAACTGTCTACGTTTTGTTGATGTTTATGAACAAAAAAATAAAAACATTTCAGCGAGAAAGACTGTGAATAAGAGAAAAAAGTGCCCAGAAAACTTATACCAGTGAAAATAGAGAAACATGAGCCCTAACTTTGTCTTTGTATCGTATTTTCATAACTATTTTTGGAAGAAATGAAATGCTGCCCCTTCGATTTTTTATCAAATATATATATATGTAATTACTGGTATTTATAGTAGTAAAACATGTTTCACAGCATATAGATAAAACAAATTCATGAACAGAAAACGTGCTAAAGAACAGGACAATGAACACATATACATTAGTGTCATACATGTCGAGTTTATACGAAATGCCAATACACATATATTTTTCTCACATACGCAAAGCAAAATAGAAAACATAAAATCTAAAACAAGACCGTTACTAAACATTACATTGTGTGGAAGTAGCATTTACAATTAAAATAGAATAAAACCAATGAAGCATCAGTCTAACCACTATAGGCTAGAGAGAGTAGTTGTTGACAAAATTATCATCATATCATGTAACATCCAAGCTGCAGAGAAAAGAAAGGTTCAAATTTAAGCATTTAGCGAAAGAATTAAGAGCCTATCACAATAAGTAAACATGCTCTCGATGAAAGTAAATTAGGTCATGAAAATTAAACTAAAAATAAAATACCTAACAAATTTACCTTCTGTTTTTATATTTTATATCTGAGTTAATTTTTAACACTCGATATTTTTCCTGCTCCTGAAAATCATTGCTTTGTATATTATTTTCCCTAAAATATGTAGCAATTTTAGACTACAAGAATTAAGTATTAACAAACGATGTATTTACAAATTATGCAATGATACATTTAACTTAAACTTCTATAACTAACAATAAATTAACTCTTTACAATAAGCAAAATTAATCTTCATAATTATAGATCTTACAATAAATAAATAATGAGATGTGTGAAACAAAATGCAATCAAACGTTTGATTAATAATATTTTCTTGATTTACTCATTTACTGTCCATAAACTGTCCAGTCACCAAAAGTTTTAGTAGTTTATTTGCCTGGTTTATGATACAAAGATGGGATGACATCTTGCCCTTTATCAACGCTTGCTGTCTTATTACAGAAGGAGTCTTCTTTAGGTAGATGGTCAAGGGAAAGTGCTGGTGTCTCCAACCCTGGTGATACTCTGGAATTGGTCTCAATAGAAACATTGTGCTATTTAACTGGTTGATTTACATCTGGAGAAGTTTTCCTTGTAACAAGATAGCTATTCTTCCGTCGATTGTGGCGGATGACCTTTGGTTTGGACCAACTCTTCCTGATTCTGCTCTGTTGCATTTTAGATTGGTTGTCTTCATTATTTTGTGCTTCTATCGTTATTGTCACTAGAAGTTCAGTCTCTGGTATTTTATTTGGGCCACGTCTAAAATAAAATAACTAAGTTTCTTTGGAAAGGTTCTCCAGAACGTCTAAGTGTAAAATTTTATTCCAGGAATGATAAATCATTGAAGACAAAAGTGCATTTTACAACAACACCACACAATTCTAATAACTGAAAAATGAAGCCAAAAGTCGCTGTCTAAATCACCTTAAAACGACTTAAAATAATTTTCCATCGAGGGTGGTCACCCCTGGACCACTACCAAAGCTCTGAATTTAGACTCTATTTAGGGCCTTGACTACTAGTTAATTTTCTCGCACGTACGTACTTCTCGTATGTCTATTACTTAGTTGAAAATACAAATTCAGATTTTAAAATGCGAACTTACTAACTAGCTGGCTCAATAATCAATCATCGATTTAATCTAGTCTTGCCCATAGGTTGCCAGGTGCAAGAAACCTTGCTTACTGTACATAGCTTTCTAAATGAGAAAACAAATGCCCACGACAATGTGCTTTATGCAGTTTCTTGTTCTAAACATATGTTACCATTTTTGCATTTTGGACGACAATAGTGTATGTATATTAAAAATCATATCTAGTAAAACATAAAAATCCTATTTGTTTTTAGTTTTTGTTTTTTTACCAGAATGAATCTGTTGTTTCAGAATTTAATTTTTAAAAATTTTGCGATAGTGAGACAGCATGGAAAAATTTTGTGTGCGTTCGTAGTTCGCTGAAGAATAAACAGATCAACACTGTATCGATTAAACAATTACACTAAAAGTGTGGAAAGTCTATTATGATTTCCAACAACGTGAATTCACATGTGTTTATTTGTTAGATGTAGTATCAGTTTTCTTAATCTTCTTTTTTTCACAAAAGTAGTCAGGTTCTTCATTTATGTTAATATACATGAGAGAAACAGATTGGAACCCATTTTCTTAAACTCAGTATAAAAGCAAATCATTTTTATTAATAAACACGACAGAAAACTAACATTGTAGACTTCGTACTTATGCAGTAAACTTAAAGAGTAATAAATCATCTAAGAAGGTTATTCACAAATGATTTTATGCACACTAATGACAAGAGAATATCGCATATTACTATATATTAATATCAAGACGACCTTTGACAATTCCCTGCTTCTTAATATTTTCAAGAGATGTCAAATCTCATACTAGAATCGCCTTTTTTTTTTTAGAACAAAAGGTGGTATTGAAGGGGGGGATAAAAGGTTTTTATGAAATTTGTGACGTTTACTAATCCACTTGTGAGTTCAGAAATAAAGTGAAAATGATATAATGTGTGATATTTAAAGTTTATTAGCTTTGCATATTCGCGCAAAACTACAAGGGATATCTGAGCTCGCTGTCCTTTATATTCAGCAGAGATATTAGAAAGTAGGCATCTACTCAACAATCGAACACCAGCTATTCAGCTTCGTATAGACGGATTTGACAATCATTCTTATAACATATCCATTGGCCCAAAATGAACTGGGCAATCTTGCGAAAACGGGACGCGAGCCGTGTACCTTCGATTTCATAGTCAGGTATGCTAACCACTAGATCACCTCTGTCTCGCCGCGATACTTAAAGAAACGAAACTTAACCTGACATAATTGGTCAAAAAGGAAAGAAAGAACGTAAAACCTTAAAATTTTAATAAACCCACAATTAAACATACATGACAAGAGAAAACGTTATAAAAAAAACACACACAAAGAATATACTGTAAATATGAGGGTTATAATTCATCATAAGACTATTTATACATAGGCCTAGCGCAAGTACAAATAATTTGATATTGATAAAGATACAAAACTAATAATAATATATGTAGTTAAATATACGCATGTAACAGTAAAATGTGATTACGTAATTTCAATGAGTATTATCAACCAAACAACACAGTCGAAAAAAATTCTGAATTTTTCTAAGAATATAAAGAAAAAAGTGTATTTTTGTAAGTTGATTCAGTTAAGTAGTATAAGCGTTATCTTTGATGCATGTTATACGTAAATACGAAGAGATCGAGCTATTATTTTGCTAGTTTTTCCCTATGACTTAAGTTTGTTTCCGGAGTCCAATATTATTTGTATATTTAAAATCGAAACTTATTTTTACGTTAACGGTCCATAGAGGGCAGCACTACGTGGATTATAAAATTAGGATTTATTTGTTGAGTAATACAATTGAGGGTTGTAGTGTGTATAATTTTATGTGAAAGTTTAACCAATTATCTCTTATTTTAGCGATGGCTAATAATAGCGCAGAAGTTCCAGGAGCTGGTTTTATTTATAGAGCAATGGGTAAGTGTTCGGTAAACGGAAATGAAATAATTCGTACTTCGCGGAAGTATGGAACCGAGGCTTTTCGAGCATGTCAAATGAACAAATTCGGGAAAGCAGTGGTGAAACAATAAAAAAAGTGCGGTTAAATCTACGAGAAGTTACGTTAATCGTTAGGCCTAAGTACTACTTCGTTATTTCATTTTACTTTAATTAAAGTTTATATCCGTAAGTGTAACAAGAGTGTGAAAGACTTGGGCCGACAAAAATTATATATATATATATAAAATCAAAGTAACTATGTTAGAATTATCCTTCTAATTTTATAGCATAAGATTCAGTTTAACCCTCTAGTTTATGTAGGACTAATGTACCATAAAATTAAAATAGCCTTAGCTTAGCTACAGACACCGACACTGTTTGAGTTACTAAAGGCTGCTGTTTCAGTGGCAGAAGGTTACTATAATTTTAATTAAGATTTGGAGATTTAGGTTCTTTTTAGTAGAAACTAGAATTTATAATAAATTATGCTGACGCAGTAGTTTGCTAAACTTCATCATGAAGTTCATGTTAACTTTTTAAAATACATGAAATATTTTATTTTAAATAGTCGGATAACAACTAAACGAGTCCCGAATTTTATTTTGGACTCGCTTTTTTGTAGTATTAGGTTTTGACTTTGAGCATATTAATTGTAATAATGGCAATTTAAGAATGAAAAATGATTCTAAAAATTGGAAAATATATAGGGTAATACTGAAATTATGAAAGGCCACAATAAAATGAATAATCTGGTTACTCTTGGAGTGTTAAAGAATGTGAGAAACAAATGGATGTCAGAGGACACTTAACTCACATGTGTAAACTTTTATATTCAGTGTATTATTGTTGGTATAGTTTAGTTTCTTTGTTTAATTTTGCAAGAACCTGATGATTTTCTTGAGGCTGTGGAAATTGTTTACTCAAATCTCTCAAAGTTTGCTATTTCAAGATTTGTTCTTACATTTTACAAGAGGACTTTGTTATTATTCAACATAATAATCACAGTGTTTAATATTTGCACTCATATTTTATAGATAAAGAATCATTAACCCTACTTTAGAAAATCTGGCTGAGACACTAAACTTTAAGATATTACCACAGAGAAGAGTGTTGAGTGGTTAACTAAAAAAAAAGAAATTCATTGAAAGTCATGTTTGTTTAGTTTGGTCAAACCATATTAAAAAGAAAACATTTCTTCCAACCACAAGCACACTTCTGTTATAAATGGATAAATAGGGAAATTATGTTGTTGACAAATGGAAAATGCTAAGTGTACTTGTGAAATATGTATTGAAAGAAACCTGTTATTTAAGTAAAGTGATACTTGAAAATTTTCTTAGTTAACAAATCAAATTCAGGCTAGTGTTTGGATGCATGTGAAGGTTTAAAAGAAGTCAGTGATAGTGTTTGGATGCTTTTAAAAAATTAAAATACAACTGTTATATAGTAAAAGAAATGTGAATAAAGTACCTTGTACTAAACTTTTCACTCATATTTACTGATGAGGAAGAAGAGTTCCCTAAATTAATTATTATATTTTAAGTATAAAAGTTTTCTTTTGTAAATTCTGTTTTCATAAAAGCAAAGTTTACCCCAGTTCTTGTCAGTAGTTCAAAATTAGGGACAGTTGTACTTGAACTGTAGGTGTGTCTTACCTGTCTTCTTAGCCCATGTATGCATAAGGTGTTTTTCAGAATGAAAAGACCAAATTTGAAAACCAAATAGGGTAAAAGTGTAGCTTTAGATTTATTTTGATACAATAGTTGGCTGTTTTGGTAAGAGGAGAAGTGATTTTGATTGACCAAGTGGTTTTTGCAATCTTTATTTTTCATTCTTATATTCTGAGTGCTAATCCTTAAGTTGCAGCTTAGTTTTATTGTACTTATTAGTTTTGTGATCTTCAGCAACATTTTTAGATTTGAATAACATATACTTCATCTGATAATTATTTTGTGAATAGTTTTAAAAAAACACTATAATGCAGTATGTTTTACAAATCAGCTAAGCAATATGTCTGTGTACAATCCTTCCAGTTGTATTAGTTCATTAGTAGTGGACATTTAAATGCAGTTGAGTAAAGCAAATACTTAACTAAAATGCTTCAAAGAAAATTGCAGAGTGAGAAAGTGAAAGAAATATTTAAGTTATAAGATAATATGAAAGAATAAGGAAAATATTATGCTTATTGACATTTTCAATTGACCATGTGTTGAAGTTGTTAAAATGTGCAGAAATGCACATTGATAAATCAGTTGTGGTGTCAATAGGAATAAGTTTATTTCTATAGGCAGTTTTAAATTTTGGTACATTGTTTGGATTAATCTGTCTTTGTATCTTTGGATGGAGAGGTTAACTGTTTTCTTGTTGTTTTTTTTGGGGGGGAGAGTTGTCCCTTCACTTCGTATGTAAAAAAAATCTGTTTTGGTCTACATTCTTGGTGTTGAGCAAGATATGATTAAGAATTTAGTCGTATGAGACCTTGGATACTAGTAATTATTATACTGCCTTGGAAAGTTCCATTTAAACTGTATAGAGTTGTGTCCTGATCTTACAATGCTGACTTCCAGAAACTGTAAGATTGAGTGGTTGATATAAATAGAAAATACTATGTTAATGAAGCTTAGGTTTGTTTTTTGTTGTTGTTGTTAATTCTGTCAATCTGGCTAAAGAATAGTATTGCAAAAATGTTTTTCTTGGAACCATAAGTTTTTACCAAGAAATGGAATAGAAGTTAGTTATCTTGTACTTGTTGGTGAGTAATGCTTAACTTGCAACAAAGTGAAATTCATTATTTATGGGGAAGCTGCTATATTTATCAAAATAAAAAGTTGACAAAGGTTTGGTAGGGCAAAGATGTTTTTAGGAAGTTTCCAAGCTCAAATTATGTTGACTTAAGGAATCTATGCTTATGTTAACTACAAACAAAAGTTTAGGACTCTTTTAATTCTTCAGTATAATTTGGTAAAAACTTTGTTAAAGAAGAGAATTTTGCTAAAGTGCTATTTTTGTTATTGACAATAAAGGTATTCTCAAGCTTGCCAATGTTTTTAGAGGTGGGAATAATTTTTTTTTATATATTCTGTTTATGTTTCAGAAGTAGCTGTTTTAAAAAAGCTTGAGAAACTTTTTAACCCTTATAAGATTTATCTTAAGGCTTTGAAGATAATTTGGCAAAGAGTTGATTGAAAATTTTATTTTTGAAATTTCTTATGTTTAAAAAGAAAGAGTCTGTGAATGTATTGACCTATTAGTTTGGTTCTTTGTTAAGTCATTAAGAAAATCATTGGAAATTTGCCTCCATTTCCAGCATGGTTTCAGAAATATGTGCCTTTCCAGTTTATTGAAAAGTTTTGATTGGGTTTCTGCTCTTTTTATATAGGATGGCATCTTATATTGTTTATCATTTTAAGAGGAGGATAAAAAGTTGACTTAGTTGTAAAAAACAGAGTTATTATAAATAGGCATTTTGCTGATTGAAAATGTGACTGGTGGAGGTCCCTCAGGGGTATGTTTTGGAAAGTTTGTTGTTGTGTACATATGTCAATGACTTGGAAAGCTTTTTGAATAGTAAAAATTGCCTGTGATATTGAAATGATAGATAGAGCTAATTCTGTTGAGAATGTTTCTCTTTTTCAAAAAAAAATATCAACATTCTTGGGGAATAGGGCAGAATGTGGAATGAGTCTTAATTTTAATAAAAATAGAAGTATACTTGTAGAGCATGAATGGGCAACCAGATATTTTTCCTGGCCAGTCAATCACAGAAATGGCCACACTGTTAAGAAAACAGAAGATTTTCACTAAATAAATTTATTTCAGGATTCTAATGACAGTGAAGGTCAATTATAAACACAATGCAAAAGTACAAAAAAATACTTTTTCAAAATTACTAAAGCATGATATTTCAGTGAGAGATTTGGCATTCTTTTTCACTGACCAGCTAAAAAACACACATTATCGATGATTCTATGAGTTGGCCACACATGTTACCATTGGCCAATGGGCTGCCCACACAGGTTGTAGAGTATAGAAAGTAGAAAACTTCTTACATAAAGAAAGCATTTGTGTTGTGGAAGAAGGAAAAAAGATGAGGTGTGATTATTGATAAAATTATAAAATCCTTTGAGTGATTTAGCAGTTAAAAAAAGCAAATAGTTTTTGTTTCTATTGATAGGGATTTAGGTTTGAAGAATAAGGTTATTGTAACCAGGTTAGGTATGAGATTTCCAAGTCTTCCTCTAGAGTACATATAGTCTGTGTAGTTTTGGTCTTGGTATATTTTAGATAGGTACATACAGTGATATCTGGTTTAAATAATATAAGCTATGAGGAGAAGCTTAGTTTTGAGCTTATGTCTACAGTTTAGAAAAATTGGTGAAGACCTGATTGAGGTGCTTGCTCAAAATTGTTATGAGCTTGGATAGTGTTCTGTTGTATTCATATAGGTGATCTGTATGAGTAATGGAATGAAAAGCATGGAATTACCAACATGAATAGGTTTAAGCTTTGAAAGTTTAATGCAGACTTGTTCTTCAAAAAATGTTTTTAAAATAGATTTAGGAGATGTATTTTAATTGTATAATTTTTATAATAGTAGAAGGAAATGGGGAGTTGTTCCTAAAGTACGATATAACAACAATGAGAAATGATTTTATAAAGTGTAAAATATTTGTGTGTGTGTGTGTGTGTATATATATATATATATATATATATATATATATATATAGAGAGAG